TGCGAAGTCATTTGAAGTCCTCTGACGTCTTCAGAAGTCTTTAGAAGTCTGCTGAAGTCTCGTGAAAATATGAAGTCACAGCGGCTGAAGTCTGTTGAAGTCTGTTGAGGTCTTTTGAAGTCTTGAAGTCTTGAAGTCCGCTGTTTCCCCCTTGCGTCCTAGCCATCCCTATTACTATCAACTCATTACCATGCTGGGTATTCTTGATTTACCATTGATCGACATTTGTGTAATGAAAAATGAAGAAGTACACATAGAACGTTTTATTAATGGTCAAAACATTTGGTCAACTATTAAAGAGAAACTTACTATTTTTTATTTCAACTATTTTTTACCTGAAATCATTAAAATTAATTAATAATTTTCTTCACTGTCACTTACTTTTTTTTTCTAATAAAAATCTTCAATATAATATTTTTTTTCCATTGACGATAATTTCTTTCCGATATATTTGAGATCACTCTCGACATTAATCATATATACACGTATATATATAAGAAACACAACAGAACAACATCCAAGAAAAAAAGATAAAATAGGAGGTGAAAAGAGAATGTGATAAGTGAATAGTTTCTCAGCCATGTTCAAATATTATATGGAACATATTTATCTTACAACCGGCGAAATATCTACTCTAGAAGAAAATACAATAGGTCAAGCATCGTCTAATGCTTGGCATGAGGCTAGGCAATATCGTATTTCAAGTATGAGTTTTTAAATTTAAAAAATTTGATTAATGTTGTCGTTAAAAATATTTCATAAATATAGGTACGAATGTTCATTTAATCTCCACTCGAAAACAAGATTTTGAAAGTCTAACACAAACAATCATTGACCAACGAGAGAAAAATCTACATTCTAATTTCGCTGTTCGACACGGTATCACTAACGAGGAGATTTGCCGACGCTAATATGTTATTCAACAAGCTAGAAGTAAGCCTTCACGTTTTTGAAAATAGTTTTACTCACGACTCATTTTAGATGAAATATGTTCAACCACATATCCATGTGGATTGGTCATTGATTCAACAGCACCACATATATGTTGTAGTCCTGATGCTCTTTTAATAGAAACGTCAAATAATAACAAATCGTACGGCATATTGGAATGTAAATGCGTGTTTGGTGAACTTAATGCAACATGGGATGACCTCATTTTTACCAGCGAAAATTTTTGCCTTGAACAATATCATGGTAGATTACGGTTACGTCCTAGCAAGGGGGAATCAGCAGAGACTTCAGCCGTGAAGTCTCATGAAGTCTTGTAAGTCCTTTGAAGTCTTCTGAAGTCTCTTGAAGTCTTCTGAAGTCTTTTGAAGTCTTATGAATTATCATAAAGTCTCATAAAGTCTCATAAAGTCTCTGAAGTCTTTGAAGTCTCATGAAGTCTCATAAAGTCTCATGAAGTCTCTTGAAGTCTCTTGAAGTCTCTTGAAGTCTCATAAAGTCTCTTGAAGTCTCTTGAAGTCTCATAAAGTCTCATGAAGTCTCTTGAAGTCTCATGAATTCTTTTGAAATACATTTAGTGCATGAAAATTCATAAGAAACCAATGAAATTGTCTTGTTTTCGACGATTTTATTTTAGCAGAAAGGTGAACTATTTATTGTTTGTT